CGATGGGAGCGAGGCCGGAGATCCGACGGATCCGGCGAGGAAACTGACGGATCCGGCGAGGTCGACGACGGATCCGGCGAGGACGAAGCGAGATCAAGGGTTAGGGTTAGGGTTAGGGATTGTGCCAGTGCCGGCCAGCGGTGCTCCAGAGGCCACCGGAGAGCGAGAAGAAGAGAAGAAGTCGGAGGCGAGAGAGGAGAGCGAGTCGCCGACGCGGCGATGCGGCTATGCCGACTCGCCGAGAGAGGAGAGCGAGGCGAGAGAGGAGCGGGTGAGACGACGCTGCGGGGGAGAGCCGAGAGCGAGACGAGAGAGTGAGAGCAAATGAATTAGGGCGACGGAGCGAGACACGCGGCCGGTCGGTCGGGACGGGCGGTTTTATACCCCCTATTCCAATGGCCGGATCCAACGGTCCGATGGGAGCGAGACCGGAGATCCAACGGTGACAAGCCGTGCCGCTGCCGGGCCGGCCCATATAGCGTGCCGTGCCCGGGCCGGCACTACGGGGCAGAATGGCGGCCTAGGCACGGGAGAGGCCGGGCTGTGCCAGGCACTGGCATGAAGGCCGTCGGACCGGGCCGTTTCTGGGCCGTGCTATTTCGTGCCGTGCTTGGGTCAACCCATAGTGCCCGGGCCAAATGGCCAACTATAGCTGTGCGCAGTGGTACACTCTGTAGGCAATTGATTGCGGGATGAACATGAAAGTATGGAGGAGGTGATGGAGCGTACACAGAACACGAACAAATGGAGCTAAAGAGGCAGGCGAGCGATCATGCGATTGCTAGGGCGCATCTCTTTGGTCGGGTGATTAGACGGTTTGCTCGATCGATTCCGCGCTTGACTCAGCCGTCACGTCGGCTGCGCCATTTTTGAGGGCTCTGAGTCTTGACACGACGAACGGAACGGCGCCACGACCATGGGTGAGGGCGATCGCCAGCCACTTGTGGAGACGCGGCCACGCGGGCGCAGGCCGGGCCCCGTGAAAGAAGGCATGTGTGCGCAGTACGCACACCTGCGCTCGCCCTCTCACTTTCGCTGAAATCCACTCCGCCATCGGCATTGCCGCCCTCGGTGCCCAGCCCAGCTCGCTTTCTCTCGCTCCGAGTCGATGATCAGCCATGCACGCGTGCTCCAAAGGACATCGCCGTCTACTCCTGGCCATCTTATCATCACTGCACTGCACTGCAGTGCGTGGACCGCAGCCTGTCGCGAATGCTTTCGATCAGAAAAACTCCGGAGGCAACAGCCAACAGGTCGGCAGCTACTGTCCTCCACTCATCCAACACAAAATGGAATTTTCAGAGGCGTACTACTCCTGTAGTCCTGTACAAATCGGTCAAAACTCAAACGCTCAAAATGCAGTGAGTTTTTTGTGCCTCGCTTTGAATCTGACTGACAGGCCTGCACTGGAATGGGTCAAAACTCAAATGCTCAAAATGCATAGATCGGTTTTGATGCAGCACCGATTTGAATCTGACTGACAGGCAATGCACTGGAGATGGAGTGCTGGACCTGAAAAAATGACGTCTGTTGCTTAGATAGGTGTACCATGATGCAGCGACAGATGCGATCAGACACACCGAAAGAATTCTAAGTGTGACGTTGACATGGTGCTGAAATGCACTGCTCCTCCTATTCCGTGCAGGAAGTGGAATGAAGTGACGTCTCCATAGTTAGCCCGCGTTTAGGTGTACAAAATCCCAAAAAATGCGACAGTTGCGTCACGAATCACACCGAAATTAAAATAAAAAAAGTGTGACATTGAAATGGTAGCGAGAATTTTGCACTGCTCCTCCTATTCCGTATTGACAAATAAAAAGTGGAAAAATAGTGCCCAAATTCCAAACTTCAACCAACTAAATAGTTACCAAAATAAGCACAACTTTAGTTTTTGATGAGTTAAACCTTTTTAAATTTGAAAATAATCTATTTAAAAAATCAATAATATTTGTATCTTCTAATATGTTTATCGTGAAAATGTATGTCTCTATTAATTAAATAAGATGTGCAGTTATTTTGATACGTGAGAAGAGTATATTAAATATTAAACGTCGACAAGCTTTCAAACATTCCTTTCGTGCCGTTTTTTCAGAGAGGGAGGACTCTGCATTCTGCAACTGACCAACTGTGTTGTGCAGTCCCCAAAAAAAAAAAAACTGTGTTGCGCAGGATTGAAACTAGGCCGCCGAACTAGAAGGCATTTGGACATATTATCTGTTGTGGCTTGGGCTCAGGAAGTCAGGATTCAAGTGCAGCCCAAAAAGCAGGTGGCGATTAACGAGAGTGGTTACCAGGCAGATGGACAGAAGGAATATATAAACCGGCTAAATTGTGCACGATCACTTGTGCGGTGGTAGCACACTGCACACAGCAATCAGATTAGCTATAGAAGTACAACAATCTCAAAAAAAAAAACTATAGAAGTACAACGTCAATCCAAGATAGTTATAGCACTGTTGGGACATGCCATATTCATATGGGCCAAGTCCCTAGAAGAGGCCCAACTAGCACAATTTAAGTGGTATGTAAAACCCACCTCCACCGAGAGGTCGCTTGTAAATTTCCTTTAAGTGGTATGTAAAGCCCACCTCCACCGAGAGGTCGCTTGTAAATTTCCGCTTGCCTATATAATGCCAAGAATATGAGGGCAAGGGGGCTCTCTCCTCTCCCACTCATTTTTCGCAAACCCTAGCCGCCGCCTCACTCTCCTCTCTCACATGTTGGAGCCTTCGCACCAAACCTTCGTTATGGAACCTTCTCTGCGGAGCCTTCACATGGAACAATCATCAGGACTTCGCCTGGAACCTTCGTCCAGGACCTTCTCTCGTCGGTCCTCTTCGAGAGGCCTTCTCCGAGAGCCGGCCTTCTTCGGGGACCGTCTCCCACCGGCCTTCACCGAGAGACCTTCTCCCGCTAACCTTCGCCCGGAACCTTCTCTAGGAGGCCTTCTCCCGTCGGCCTTTTCTGGGAGACCTTCTCCCACTAACCTTCTCTAGGAGACCTTATCCCGCCGGCCTTCTCCGGAAGGCCTTCTCCAGCTAGCACCCTGTTTGGGACGCTTGTCCCCGCACAAACACAACAATCAGATGCTGTAGAATTACATCGTCAATCGTCAATGCGAGATAACTGTAGAAATAGCTGTAAAAGTACAACGCATGGAAATGTGGAATCGCAATTGAGTCACAGACAGTACTCGCCATTGTACCAATCTCAATCTCCATCTCTATCTCAAACACGCTAACTTCTAAACAGCCAAACACAGGCTGAACGACATATCCACAGCTACGAGATGTCCTAGCTAAGTTCCAGAAACATGCATCCAAACACCATCAATCGGAGGCTTCCCTCCAAACAAAGAAATAGAAATTGTACGCCACAGCCCAGGGAACAGGAAATAAATCAGAGGCTTCCCTCCAAACCGATAAATTCAGGAAATAAATCAGAGGCTTCAAAGGCAAATGCAACGCGGTAAACGGACACTCACCACTACAGGGTCTCAAATGAGAGAAGAAACATAAACAGAAGCAAAACATCGTAGAACGAAAGGGGCCAAAATCATTTTTTTTCAATAAAAAGAAGGCAAAATTATAATCTTCACATTCCAGTAAAGATGCCACTATGGCGCAACATTTTACAATGAGTAATTACAAAAAAGGGATTATGTGAAACATTCTTTTCTCTATATATCCTAGCTGCCATTTTATTCTGACAGAAATTCCTAGCTTCGACATACTGTTGTAAAATCCACTTCAAGTATGAAGGTGGCCTTCCCTCAGGCTCAAACCACCTGGTAATTATGAGTAACCATTCGAATCCTCTGAGAAAATTTGGGAGGGCTGCCTTCCCTTGATGGATGAACGGTGGTAACCTGAAACAATGATGTGCATAGCATCACAAAAACACATACAAGGTAAGAAACGTAAATTCAGGAAGTAGCCCAACATTTAGCTGACAAACGCATCATAGTTTATCAAGCTGGCAGTTGGGACAGTGGACAATCAGTTTTACAACATTGTTCTTATGTACTACCTCCACATACAAGTGCGTCTTTTCCTATCTGCCTTCAATTGTAGTAAAAATCCCAGCCTTAAATTTACGGACAAGAGTACAAAGCAGGGCGTAAGATGGTTGAAAAAACTACTGCAAAGCGGTGGATATCATTATTATTTTTATGAACCGGTGAGTGGAGATATTTGTTTGGGTTTTTAAACAAAAATTCAACCTTAAAAGCAAACCAGAAGCTAAGGATAAGCAAAGGACGGTTCATACATCGTACTACATAGAATAGGAACAGTCTAAAAGGAGGGAGGGAGGATATAGTTTAAGGTATGGAAGTAGGAAGAGAAATTGCAATTATAGTACGCGAAATAATGCGCTTCACTATTATAGGACTCCAAACATCGACTTCGCTAAAACAACCCTTAAAATGTTGACACTTTGTTATATATGACATTTGGTCTTTTTAATCACTTTTCTCAACTAAAATACATGTATTTTGCCATGATGTAACCGTATTGCCCTCGAGGCTTCAATTGACGTGGGATGGGGCTGCTGGCCGCTCGCCTATAATTGCAATTTTCTCTGCCACGTCTGGTTGCAGGAAGAGAAGACTGAAAGCCATGACCTTGCGTTTGCCTTTGTCATGCACAGTGCAGATAACTCTGAACGATTCCTCCTCGTCATTCTCACCGGCTGGAGCCAGAACGGTAACAGATGCTGCGGCGTACCATTGTCTGGGATGGAGGCCGCCAGTAGGTCGTCGGGTATGCGTGGAATCTTGACGTATGTACAGGCAGTTGACATATGTACAGGCAGTAACCTATAGCAGTGACGCTGAATCACACACCACAGTACATGTTCTGCATTACAAGCACAAGAGAGGGGCCCTTGCATCGCACAACATAGTTCGTTTTGATGATACACAAATAGAGGGCTCTGCAGAAAAGGAAACAATTACAGGACTGAAACAAGCACCTTGATAGTTATGCATGCTGGGGTGATCAGGAATGAGGAGCTGGGAACTGGGGGTCATTGTATGCATTCGGACAAGATGACTCAATCCGATCATGGCTCAATCTTTCAGCTGCTGCCCTATCTAACAATTCAAAGAAAAATCGTGAGTATCAGGGTACCATCAAATCCTGTATGTTTGCAGCATAAGAAGAGAAGTAACCAGTATTCCCTAATACCATGAACAGATGCGAGGCGAACAGAACAGTTTGGCTGTTCACTGGGCATATAGGATGGACCAGCACCAATACTAGTATATTTATCCACATGAATTGGGTTAGGAGAGTTGTCTGTCATTACATGATCCTCGGGAAGCTTATCCAGTTTAGCATAAGCCCCCTTTTTCAGCTGGTCCACTAACTCCTGCAGCCAAACACACACTACGCGTTCACTTCGATGAAGAAAGTGGCAACCGAGTCTAAATATGTTCACATGAAAACTTGTACCTGTTGAGCAAAACTAAAGTTATCTGTCAGAGTGTAAGGACCACCAAAAAATTCTGCCCCTACAAGACAGTGCACACACAATTGAAGAAAAGCTTCACGTTTTTCTCTGTGCAAAAAAGTAGTTTCAGCTTGTGCCTGCCTCCGAGAGAGCACTCTCTAGCATGCTTTGTCATTTTCTTCCAGGGCTTGTGTTCCATGTTTACCCTGAGAATCTACATACCGAGGAATGGCGATGATGTCATGTAAATAAACTGACTGAGAGTTATGAAAGAAAATGTTTGGGATTTGATAAAATAAATGTTGAGTTTACTTTGGCAAGGTTACGAGGGTCCTTATTTAAAGCCTTTAAAAAGTCTTCCACAGTAAATATGTTCTCCTTCTCCAGCCTTTCTGCGTAAACTTTGGCAATCTCCTCCAAACGATGCACGCTATCATTTAGTTTTGGAGGATGACTCTTTTCATTTGCTGTAAAAAGAAAGGAAAATGAGAAAAACTTGCTGTTAGCTTGTCACGCATCAACCAAGAACAATTGAATGCATGCTATGAATCTTGGACCATAGCTGTATGTCATAAATGGTCTTTCAACTTTGCCAAGTAATAAAAAGAAATATGGATGGCAACAAACCTACATTTGTTTCTGCGATCCTGCACAACCACAGGGTTCATGACGGCTTGTTGAATCTGGAGACCAGATACCTCACCCTCACAAACTCTTGCCCCAATGATGAACTTCCCGCCGCGAGCCTTGCACGACCCTTCTGTGAATTTGATGCTACCAAGATCGCACTGTCCATTCTTAAGCTGGGCTTTTGTTCCTTCACCTCCCAATACATTTCCGTTTCCATCCCGAGAATTGGCTCTATGTTTATTGAACTTTTTAGGAGTCCAACTCTTTGGAGAAGCATGAGGAAAGTCACCCTCAAGCACGAAGATCTCAATTTGCAGGTTTGAAAGCCCGCCCGATTCGATCATCTTGTCCCCATTAAATATGCCAACCTTAATGGCTGTATTGCTCTCAGATTTTATCTCATCGTCATGGCAACCAGACGTGGCAGAGAAAATTGTAATTATAGGCGAGCGGCCAGCAGCCCCATCCCACGTCAATTGAAGCCATGAGGGCAGTACGGTCACATCATGGCAAAATACATATATTTTAGTTGAGAAAAGTGATTAAAAAGACCAAATGTCATGTATAACAAAGTGCCAATGTTTCAAGGGTCGTTTTAGCGAAGTCGATGTTTGGAGTCCTATAATAACGAAGCGCATTGTTTCGCGTCCTATAATTGCAATTTTCTCAGGTAGGAAGAGTCATGAGTGGTGTTTTATGGCAAATTGAGGTAGTAGTTACCGTCTTGCTGTTCTTATTGCAGCACCCAAAAAAACTTGTCAATTCGTTTTCTGGTTGGATTTATTCACACTGAATTTTGTAGCTGCAGGTTCCAAAAAAGATTATATATAGTCAAGAGCATAAGGGGTTTGGTGACCGATGATGGCCATGTGTAGGTGGTTATAGGGACACAGGACGACATGATTCACAAGCAATGCCTTCTTGGCGATAAATATGCATGCACAATAATTCCTGAAGATGTGGTTCGCACAGATCCTATGTTTGCACAAATTTTCTTCCTTTCCCCACTTTTAGTGCCTTTTAGTCCTTGAAGCTTGGATGGAATGATATATATATTAGAACCAGCTTTAACCTTTTAGTTCTGGTGCATGAGATGTGGACGCAAGGTTCAGAGATTAAGAAGTTCAGATGATCTTGAAGGTCTAGCTTCAGTAATTCTAAACCAAAAGGTTGAAGCTGATTCTAATATGCTGTGGCAAATCACTTATTTGCACATACAGTTAGTTGGTTACTTGTATGCCAGTGTCACTTCGATTTCTGATGCAAATGGACTATAGATATTGATGTGATATGTTTTATTCTGGGTGCTTTAGCTGTTGTGACGATGGCAATAACTATAAATATCAGTGTATATACTTCATATCTTAGCGTTACCATATCTAATTATGAGGCCATGTTTGTCAGGCATAGAGCATTTGATCTTCAAGTCAATGCAGGGCGCCCGAAGGGCGCTTGATGTTCTAGTCAACATAATAATAGCCGCTCCAAATAGAGGCGTCCACTAATGAACGGTAATAGTAAATGCAACATGTTGGTTCCTTTCAAAATTCACTTGAAAGCTGAGAGCAAATCCACTTGAAAGTTGTATGACCGATTTGAGATTTCAGACCAAAAGTTCTGAAAGATAAAAAATTTACTGTCCACTATATTCAACTCTTAACACAAATCAGTACTATGTAACGATCAACATCAGTAATAAAATAATCAACAGCGTCAGAATTTCCACATATTCAGTATGCATTAGTTTGTGTACGAACCTTTGGCCTTTTGAGCAAACAACTCCCCAAATATAGGATCACCCCCTAGACCACTCCCTCTGGTGTTCATGTCAATAACAACGTTTGTAGTCCTCTGGGGGCCAAATGCGTTTTCAGTCTTGCCTCTACTAATCTGCATAAATTACAACAAGTTGCCAAATGTTGGTCATAATCTTGTGCAATACTTGTACAATTGCACGTTAGTCAAAGAGCACTGTTAATCACAAAAAAGCTTTGCAGGGGTTACTCCATGTTTACTCCTTCCAGAAGATATTAAATTTCCAAGAGAAAAATGACAGTACTGCATGCTGCAAACAAAACACCATGATCGAAATAGGAAAAACACTGTCTAACCAGAATTTCAAAGGCAATCAAAGACCCATATGCCACAAAATATAAATGAAGAATTCCAAAGAAGAAAAATGTCCAATAGTTTGCCATTTTTTGGTAAGAAAGTAACCCAGCTCTACCCACAATATGGCACACCAAATTATAGCAAACATCCAGATAGAGACAAGGAGGCATGACTTTGAACTGGTGCCACAACTAACACTTACACCAAAATATTTAAATCAAGATTCCAGGAATTTATGGGTGGGTTTGTTACGGCGCCGTGACTTGCTACGGAGGAAGTAGGGAGGGGAGATTGCTGGCCGGGGCCTGGCAACCCGGCGGCGGGCGGGGCCGTGCTCGGCGTGGGAACAGGAGAGACGACTCGGGGCTGGGAGCCCAAGGGAGATTAGATCTCAAACCCAGGCTGATCCATTCATTCGGGAATGTGTGTGCCATATAGGCAGCTTACAAACGTAACAAACTTTCCTAAATTCACTCCTTGACAACCATTCAAAGGGAACAAAGCAAATTGACTTGATCAACTAAATGAACCGAGTGACCCGGCTTCAGGAGCCGTGGTGACCGCGCCCTGGGCGCTGTGCCGTTCGGCCAGCTTCCTTGGTGATCAGCTCTAGCCACTGGTGCGATCCCGACGGTGGTACTGTTTTCCCACCATAACAGGGTTATATTTCCAATCTAGAACTTTCAAATATAATAACTTAGTTCTCTTTCATCAAGTTCACCATTTTTTTTATCTTTTTGCAATATAGTTTGTGAGACGAAATAAGCCACTCAATGACTATTTCTCTCAAAATTTTATAAAAGATTAATAACGATGACCTGGAGAACCCGCATCACAAGCATGAAAGTGTTGAAAGTAATAATGACTATTGCCATGATTACAAGATTGTAAAGTGAGACCAACAGAAGAGGTATTATACTGATAAAAGAATGTGACAATGACGAGAAACACTCCTGTAGTCCTATCTTTCAGTATTTTATCAGCAACTACATAACTGGAATATAACTAATAAAACAGTGATTATTATATTAAAGATCCCATGTCAGGAAATAAATGCAGTAGCAAACGAACTCATATCTTTTGCATGTTTTTAGAGTTGTCATAGCTATTGGCTATGTTTACAAAATTTCAATTTTAACAGTATATAGGCAGGTAAAAAGAAAATCCCTTGATGTTGAATATTCAAGAGAAGTGTGTGTTACTTTGAGGAAAAGAATAGGACGAACCTTGCTTTTCTCAATCTCAGTAACTCGTTGCCTCATGCGATCCCTAGTTTCATTTATTTTGCTTTGCATGACGAGTTTGTACAGCTTCTCTTCATGGCTCTCCATCTCACAATACTGTTTAACTTGAGCAACAGTAACATTTTCTTTGTTTCCAAGGGAAATGGCTTCATCAAAAGCAGAAGTGAGGTCAAATGCCGCCCGACAGACACCTTCCTCATCAAAAGAGGGGGAGTACTCAGGTACCTTTGTATGTGTTAAGGAATCATTGAATTGAATTGGCCTTTTGAATATGGAAATGCTATAAGCTTATAATTAGCTCCTAAGCAAGGGCAAGTGATACTAACATAGTGATTCATGTGTTAACTCCAAAAGCAAGAGCGTATTTATGCTTGTGCATAATGTTCTTTCTTTGATCTTATAAAAGGAAAATAGGCATCCAATGGCAGTAACAAAAAATAATAATACAGAGATGGCAAAAATAAATCCATATTGTGATGCCGACAACACGACTTTTGAACGGTATAAACTAGCCTTTGATGGTAGGAATATAACATAAAAACTGGGAACAGGATACAAGTTTAGAAAGCAGCCTCAGTGTCTCCAGGTCTTCAAGAATGTTACTCTGCTTATTTGTGATGACTAGCAGGTATAAGGCTTCAATAGGCTGATAAACATAACGGACATTTTCAGTCTCAACATAAGTGTGTTGCTTTCCAGTTCCCATCAACTTCGGAAATGCTGCAAGTAGTCCCTCAATTCTGCTTCGAGACATATCAACAAATTGTCTTGAAACAAGTACTGCAGTTGAAGAAAAACATAAACAACACATTATTTGCTATTAGAAAAAATCATCACACAAATACAGAAAAAATGTTGGCCGTAGCTTGACAAAAATTAAATGCATCAAAATAAACCTATAAATCTACTTAACAGAGCCTATTGCACAAAGTTGATTTAAGTGTTGTTGTTTTCACACGATTGTAGACCCACGGCTCATATGCATGCTAATATGCTATATGAACAAAAAGTAAATACAATGCAAGTGTTCAGGGCAGATTTAATATATACATACGCTACAGCTACAAAAATTTAAAAGAGCGTTAAGTGTTTCAGAAACAGATATCATTAAAGAATCAACAATAATATTCAGAATCAGTAAATGGGCAATAACCAGCTTACCTTTTCCAGACTTTGATACTACAGAGGCTGCAAGAACCACCTGTAATACATAAAATGGAAAAAGATTGAACTGTCAGATTGACATGGGATGCAATCAAGATTGCAGGAATAACGCATATCAATCACCATAATACCCTCTCAAAATGTCTAGACTCCAGAACGACAAGTGAATTAGTTTATAAAAAGGGAAACACGATATAACGTTGAGTCAATCGATAATACCAATTTCAATAGTTCTGTCACCCAGGAATAACCAAAGCTGAATCAGTGAGCTACTTGAACTGCAAAAGGAAAGGAATTAGTTCCACAAACAAAAGACAATGTACAATAATATAACAAAGCAGCTCGTAAGATGTGCACGGCTTCGCACAGAAGGAAGGGAGGACCAAGGGGAGGGAATACCTGGTGTCCTGGTGGTGCTCGTCGCCGGCCAAGGTGGCGAGTGGCGAAGTAGGACAGCAGCGACGGTCGCGGGGACACCGGGGCTGCAGAGGGCGGACGCCGTGCCGGAGCTGGTCGCGAGGACGCTGGGTCCCAGGTGGTGATCGACCGAGCGCAGTCTCCTCTCCGGGGTTGCGGCGCGGCGAGCGGATGCAGGAGATCGGCCGCTGGCGAGACGAGTTCAGCGGCGGGCCAAGGGTCGAGCCAAGGTTAGAAAAAGCGCTAGGCGGGCTGGCCCAAGAGCCCAGACGGGCGGGCCGTGAGTTCGGACATTGTGGCAACAAGTGACCGTGGCGATGCCTTCGCGGACCATGTCCCGTACTGACATGTACTGTACGTGGGTGATTCCTCCGTTCTGGCATGTATCATCTCATTTCGTGTCCCACCGCCCGGGAGGAGTTCGATCGACGCAAATGACAGAGGAGAGTTCCTAGGTCGGAATCCTTGCGTGCATGGCCGGATCTCTGGTAGTCTGGTTTGCTTTGCAATAACTGGCCAACCGGACCCGAGAAGTGCAGCATCGCAACCAGTGCCGGGGTGCTGGTCACGCCCTCGGCCTTGGGTCATTGCTCGTGCCGGGACATCCGAAACCACCGATCCGACTGGCCAGGCAACTCATGCATGACCCCCACCACACCTGGTTGTTCCACCATTGGGAGGGGCCTATTACTTCCGGGGTTCCGCCGCAGTCACATGCATATGCACCACTAGACGCCCCCGGCGCCCCACACACCTCCCTCGCGGCTCGCGGGGAGGTGACCGCACGGCACGTCCAAAAGCCAACACATCTTCTTTTTTTTAGAATCAAAAGCCAACACATCTATCTAACCGTACCAAGCAACCCTAGACTTCGCGGCATCACCGAACGCCGGCCACCTTCGTCCGGTCCGGCGGCCCACGCCGCTTCCTCGTCCATCAGCCTGGTTGTGTTCGCAAACATTCGAAGTGGAAGTTCGGGCCAGGCCAACTATACTGTGGTGGAACCGGTGCTGGGATTGTTGCACTCTTTTCCGTTCCTAACCCCCGACGTTTTTCTACGCACTTTCACCGGCGGCAGCCCGTAAAGCGCTCGCGACGAAATCATAGAGGTGGAGCCCCGGTAACATGCGGCGGGGCCGATGAAAGGTGCCTGTCTGTTGGGGGATCGGATGGCGTGGGCCGTGGGGGGTAGGAGGCAACTCTGGGTCTGGGGCTAACGACCATTGCTTGTCACGGGCTCCAGGTGACGAAGCAACGGATCCTGCTGCACGATCATGTCCCGGAAAAGGGCGCCACGGGTCGCCACCACCGTTGTGCGCTGCTAGCTGGCCGATTCCGGCCTGGTTCGCGTCGAATTACTACTTACTCCTACCTGCAGCTGCAAGCAAGCTCTCCCTCCATAGTTCCACTCACAACAAAAGGAGTTGGTTAGTTCAGCAGCAGGCGCACGCATGATAATAACAATGACAACAAAAAAAGCTCTCATCTCGTCCATGCAGATCGGGGAACAGGCAGCGCAAGAGGAGCATGGACGCGTCATGTTGCTGCACTGTCACTGCCTTGCTTCGGTTGATGGGTTACAGTAATGCTACAAAAGCAGGCTTTCAGGTACAGAGGGAATCCATCGATCAGTGGGGACACAAAGCTTTGAGCCTAAGCAAAACGGTCTCATGTTCACCCACATGAGGCAACGCGAGACGACGGCCGTCGGACGACGGCCGATGCAGTCCAGCCGCTTGTTTTGGTACAAATCTGACACGGAAAATGACCGATAAATATACAGAAGCTCAAGCATGGATTGTTTCCGCAGCTACCGCGCGGTGGGTGGAGGGGAGACAGACAAGAGCCTGGAGCCCTGGAGGAAATCAGAAGGCAGCAGATACAATAGTCGGGTCACGGTCACGGACATCGATCAGTCAGATCCACGCACCATTAGTCATCTGCAGCAGAGACCAGACATGGTTGTCTCCAATCAGTAAACCAGCTGAACTGAGCAATCTTTCATCTTTGGTCTGTGTCAGCACTCAGCAGGAACGCAACTTACCGTTGGGCGACTGGGAGCTGGCCACGGAGAAGTCCGAGGACGCCATGGGTATGGACATCGACAGCTGGGTCGCCGGGAACGAGGGAGCGAGGCTGGCGTTCTCGTCGGAGAGGCCCGGCCAGGAGTCCCTCGCCTTGGGCCACTCGTCGAAGAAGGGCCGCAGCGTCTGGTTCTCCTGCTTCGCGGCGGAGTCCATGGCCCCGAACTCGGAGTTCCCTAGGAAGGAGAGCGGCTGCCGCTCCATCTTCGACAGCGAGCTAACCGTGCTCTGACCCAGGTCGCTCAGCGCCCCAAGCTGGGGGTAGCTCGAGAGCGGAAACGAAGAGGTTTGGGATGGCGGAAGGCGCCACTGGTTCTCCATTGATGAGTCAATGGCTTCTGAAATCAGCTGATTGTGCTCCTCCGCCAAAGACCTTATTCCGTAAGCGTTATACCTGAATTTCAGAAACAGGGTGGACAACGCAAATTAGTAGGGGATGCAAAGAAAAAAGACACATGCCAAAAAAAACTACAGTATGTTTTCTTCTCGTGAGCTAATAGTCTTCATTATGCTGTTTGATAAATTCTACTGAAGAAAAAGGAAAACGTTTCTAAGAATGAACAGATAACCAAAGCACGACACAGGTTACAATTGTCCTCGGCTGGTACATGATCATATCTATTGACACACTGATAAACACATAAAAAACATGTCAAAAAGCTTCTAGTTACAAAGACACGTGACACAATGTTTTCAGTAAAATGAACGCACTTTGGTAATTAATGCTATCAAGAAACAAAGGCTACCAACAAATGAATAGTGCACAATTAGCAACAAAGTGAAAGAACAGGTGGTGATACACTAAGAACAGCTGTACAGTAAAACCAACAATTTGTATTGGTGCAAACAAAGCATTGGTATGGGCAAAAGGAGATAGACTTCTAGTATCATGCACATCACATGCTGCCTTTCAAGTTTATCAGTAGTTACATGGACCAGATTTATTGTATGCTGCCCCAAAAGAGTTGCAAGAGCAACGACTTGATTCTGCGAAATCATAAAGACGTGGAGTAATGGCCAGGGAAGGACAGCATCAGCAAGCAGCAGGCACCAGCGCTGCGACCACTGAACACAAACAAGCAGCACGTATTCGAAGCTTGGCCTGTGCCAAAGCCAAGAAGGCTGTGTGCTGCACCTGCACGTCCACCTGACCTGAGCACAACTACTAGTATCTCGTAGAGACATGGACACTGCCCTGGGCTTCAGCAGTCAGCAGGGGCTTAGAACTGAACCAGAAAGCGTGGCCAGACAACCAGCCAGCGCCTGAACTTTTAACGTAATTTCTGGCCAGACTGCTGATTGCGCATGGCGCAAGTAAAGTACTGAGCACGCACTACACTACAGGTTTTGATTGCCACTGATTATAGTAGTAGTATGTGTGACCATCTGACGCCAATCAGTTAAAACGATACGATAGCACTGTTAAGAAACAGGATGGCATTGGTCATTTTGGAGTAGGAAAAAAGAAAGAAAGGAAAGAACAGTCACCTGAGATCCTTTGCAGTTCCACCACCAAGAGCTGCGTAGCTGGCAGCATTGTCCATGTGCAGCTGAGACGACCCCATCGACGAGGAGAACGGGGTAGATATATTGCTGGCCCCGCCACCTCCACCAGTGCTGCCGGCAATGGCCGGGTAAAGGGAGTGGTTCTGGAAGCTGCTGCCGTTGGTGGCGGCGGCGGCCAAGGGCAGAGCGGCGGAGACGGCCGCGGTGGCGGGCGGTTGGGACTGGGGCACGAGCTGCGTTTCCACAGGCTTTCTTGAACGGTTGCGGCCGCGGTGCATGTGGCGCTCGCAGTATTTGGAGTCCGGGGCGGCCTCCTTGGAGCACCGCCACTTCTTGCCGTCCGTACGCCGGCACCTCCCCGGCTCCGGATCCAGTTTCTTGCCGAAGTACGTTGCGTACCCAACTGCACAGATCACACAGAGAAAATCAGACGCACTAATCCGTTATTTAAGCATCATTTATGCGTTTGCTTTTTTATCATCTGCCTGTCCGCATGCATCTGGGCTTTGCAGTGTCCAAATGGATTGGCATCTGGTACAGGACAGTACCGATGCAGGCGCAAGGTAGCGCTTCCTATTCTTAGCAGTCGGACAGAAATGGCGACCTGCTGTGTGTTGCATTCAATGAATTTGCTTGCTGGCGAGTGGCGACCTCACCATTATTGATCATCCACAAAGAGAGGAAATAAATGGCAAATGAAAAGTATTCGTACTATTGAGCCACAATGGTGCCTGCTACTGATGCTAACCTCTATTCTAACCACGAGTAAGCTCGGTATCAAATCAAACAGCACAAAATGACGAGCTAGCTAGCTAGCTCTGCCTCATCATTTGATGAATGTTGAAGAGAGCACGAGCTCGGATTAAAAAAACCAGAAACTTTCCGGGAGCAAATCGGAGGTCTTGTGTAAAACACACGCGCGGTTCTTGAATCGCGCATCAGGGATTAACAAATGACCGGAGCAAATTAACTAATCGAGGCAAAGTACAAATGATTAGAATAAACAAAGAGCCAGGACCCCGGGGACGGAGCAAGCGCCCAAGAAAGCAATACAGCAAGGATGACGGCGGTGGCATGGCGCCGAGGAGGGGGAGGAATATGCCGTACGTACGTGTGGGGTGGCCGTAGAAGCGGGTCGCGATGGAGTCGAGGCCGCGGCGGATTGGAACCACGAGATCCGGCGGGACGGGCACGCCGGCCACCAGGTACTTGTATATGAGCGCCTGCTGCTCCAGCTCCTCGTACTGCGCCGGCGTGAACGGCAGCACCGGCCTCGCGGCCGGCCACCTCGCGCTCACCTGGGCGTCCTCCCCCAGCCCGCCGCCGCCGCCCCTGCACCAGCACACATGCCACCGCGTCACAACCGCGAACCGGACGGCAAACAATGGGAGAGAGATACACGAGACAAGAACGAAGCGACGAGCGAAATGACCACGGCGAGCGGTGGTGGTGGTGGATACTTACGCGGAGAGCGGGGTGGAGCGGCAGAAGGGGAGGAGGGACGCCGTGGCTGTGGAGGAGCGGTGGTCGGCACCTGCCGGGGAAAGAGAGGCATACGGCATCGCCATCTCAACCTGTCTCTCTCGCGCGCTGCTTGCTCCCCGCGGCCGCCGGACGCACCCCCCCTTTAATGAGCTCCCCCCGCAGGCTGGGCTCGTGATGTGCTTTGCTTGGCTCCTTCCCCTCGCCTCGCTCGCGCGCGCGGCCTTTATTGCCCGCTTTGTCTCTCTCTGCGTCGCTGTCTGCCTCGCGCTGGAGCGTCAGGCGTGTCGTCTCCCGGCGAGGCGGCGAGCGAGACTAGGGGGTGTTTCGTGTTTGGATCAAGCCGACTAGAATGTTAAACATCGATTAATACTGTGGTTATTTGTCGATGGTTAGATTAATCTATGTTTAATCTAGTATTCTAGGGTGAACTGAATTTTACCCGGGGATCCAAACGCGTCATCCCTGGTGTGGACAAGCCCGACACGAGGAGGGCACTACTGCACTGGTACGCCACTGCTAGGCACTAGCCGGGCGCGAAGCTCTACTAGCTCCGACCCCTTTCCGCGGCTCCGGCACCGGCTCCGTCCGACCCAGCTACCAGGGCATTGTTTAGATCATCTCCAAATTCTTAAGTTTTTTCACCCTCTCTATCACATTAATTTTTGAACGTATGCATGGAACATTAAATATAGGTAAAAAAAATAACTAATTGCATAGTTTAGTTGTAAATCACGAGACAAATCTTTTAAGCCTAGTTAGTCCATAATCAGACAAAGTTTGTCAAATACAAATGAAACGTGCTACAGTGTCCAGATTGCAAAAAATTGCAATCTAAACGAGGCCTAGGCCTTTTTAGATCACCTCCAAATTTCAAGTTTTTTCACTCTCTCTCCATCACATCAATTTTTAGCCGTTTGCATGGAGCATTAAATATAGATAAAAAAAATAACTAATTGCACAGTTTAGTTGGAAATCACGAGATGAATCTTTTGAGCTTAGTTGGTCCACGATTGAACAATATTTACCAAATAAAATGAAAATGCTACTATTTATCGGATTGAAATTTTTTTACAATCTAAACATGGCCCTAGATGACAAGCGATGCCTGCCTCCCACTCTGTCCGGCTATCCCTCTGGCGTTGAGGTAGTCCGTAGCACGGTAGCAGGCGTAGTGAACTTGTGTGTGCTTGTTGCTCTCTCTCACACGTAGGGGTGCACGGTAGCAGACTATCTTTTAAGTCTAATTAATCTGTTATTAGCACATATTACTATAGAACCAAGTTGTCAAATTATAAACTAATTAGGCTTAAAAGATTCATCTCGTAAATTAATCTAAATTATACAATTAGTTTCATAATTAATATATATTTAATATTCTATACATATGTCTAAATATTCTACGTGACTTGAATTTTTGAATTTTTTAAGTCCTACGCTGCTTTGTTTGTTTTGGGGCTCAATTTTTGCGCGAGCAGAGTGGATATGATGCAGGTACTGTAGCGAGGGTGGTGACAAGCATCATGTTGGAGGAGAGAGAGGAGGGGCGTGACTGTGGATTTGGGCTGTGTCTGCGTCGCGGTTCCCAAGGCCGGCACTTAAAAGCCACAGGACACAGGAGGGTGCCGGGACGCCGTTGCCATTCCCGTCTCTTCCACTCTTCCGTCATGGCTCATGGGAGTACGGGAGGCCCTTGATCAAGGGTTTGCGACTTGGGCGAGCTTTTTTTTTTTTTAGACTGGACTGTTTTGCCTTCTCATGCTACTGCGGAATTTGCCACGTGAAGCATTCATAAAGCTTAGGGGTCTGTTTGGTGTCCTTCTAGTTCCGACTTCGTTGATGGCTTCAGTACCGTAGCACTGAGGGCTCCTTTGGATGCCAGGGGACCAAAGGCACGTGGAACAAAATCACAAAGGAAAAATTATTCGTGCAAATGACATCCACAGCAAATCCTATGGGTATTCTATCTTATCCTTTAGGAACAAGTGACGCACGTTCGTGAGGCAAGGTCGCTAGTGCAATCTGCTCGAGGCATGGAGGCGGAGGCTGCGATGCGGTCTCAGACAAATGGCGCGGCGGGAGTCATCAGCTGACGGGGGAGGACGGGAACTAATTCACGAGCCAGGAGACTCTTTTTTTAATTCCGCGTGGTTAGACGGTGATATGGGTAGAATGACACGCGTGTTTTTTTGGCCAGGGTGGTGTCCAAACCGACGAAGGGACTTGGAGGGAGAGCAGATCGTCGGGCCTCAGCAGCCGCGCGGAATCGGCAGGGATTCCTGCGGGGTTTGACGTATCCAAAGGAGCCCTAATGGTGGTTTTTAATCTTGCAATTATCAAATCTCAATCACCTCACTAGGCATGAACTCTCCCTTGTTCTTCAACATGTTTCCTCGCTGAACAAATGGACAAGAGAACTTCAATGGACGAAATGAAGGGGTATTTATAGCCCCAAGGCAAGAAACTGGTCGTTGGCTCTCCACTGAGCATTCACAAGGGCCCTGACCTATCCGGTGCAACCCTGCTATCCACATTGGACACATACGGTGAGTACTCCAACGGCTAGTTTGAAAACTAGCTGTTATTGTACGGTGCATCCGGTGCGTGAGGACCCGTGCTCATACACGACCTCAAACTCTCGATTGCAGACCTCTCTGGAACCCCAGTTCGGTGCAGAGTTCGATGCACCACCGGACACGTCTAGTGAGTGCATTGGCTCCTCTCGGCTGGTAGGGCTCTCTTGACGCCGTGTGTGGTGCCACCATGCCCGATGCACACCTGACTCATAGGTGTCGCGTTGTTTCCTTCATCTGAAAACTAGTGCACTGTGCACGTCCGGTGCACTTTCAGCACCATCAACTCATCCATTTCAAACACTCTTTGAGTTGGTTTTGATATCAAACATGTCTTGGGCTTCCATAGAGCTACCTAGCGCTAGTTTTCACAAGTGTACACCACATCCACTCACTAGACTCAACTAGGTCAAGCTACCCATTCATACCCTATTTATAGTACAACCAAAGGAAAACAAAGATCCTATAACTAATCTAAGTGCCCCTCAACACCATTGAAACACTTAGAACTAGTCAATTCTTAATCTTCGTGCTCATCGTTTCAAAACCGAAATTGAATACCATTAATAGGGGCATGAAAGCCATAATTGCTCAATCAATCACTGTTATCGTGACCTAACTTTTATTGCTTCAGCAAAACACACGTTAGTCACAATAATCTTATATAATTATTAATCATCGAAACCCAACTATGAGCCTAGATGCTTTCAAACTGAAACACCTTATCAAAGATGACTATGTTATTCGAAAACTATATTTTATTGTACTATATGAAATGTTGTGATACAACATGAGTGTATTGTGTTTATTTTTTTGCGAGATCCAGTTACAAACACAGACGTTCACATACACGAGCGCACACTCACCCCTATGAAAGCACCTTCGAAGAACTAAGTTGGATCGGCCAATCTTGAGATTGACAGAGTCACCATAGACGCGCCTTCTTTGTCGATGAGTACATCACCTATCACTGAAAAAATAGCGTTGTTAAATCCTAAATTAAATCAAGAGAATGCAAGTATCCGTGTCGCAAGACATCGAGACCGTACGTCGTCTATGGGAGAAAGATTTTGCATCTGCGATTCACTGGGTAGCAGCCTGTGTCCTGTCCTGGCACGAGCTAGGAAGCACCGAGCAGACATTCAGGATGGCCCCTTTCCTTGCGCTGCTCTGGGTGTCTCGTTACCTATAAGTCCGCCAGCATGTTGTTTTTTTAATCGGTCGGTCCAACAATTGTTTTAGCCTCCTCCTAACAATCAGATTTTGTCCTTACATTTATACTCTTTTATAATTATATTTACACCATCTTATTATAATATTTACGATGATTTCTTCAGTGTAAATCATTTGATACAGTGATGTTGTGGCAGAATCATCTAAAATAGCACGTTTTCAGATGCACTCATCTTCCATCAGACACTAAACACTTCGAAAGCAAGCTAAATCGGACGAATTCCGTCGAGCACACCCTAAGGGATAACTCGAATAATCTATATTTTTCCTCCAGGATCCAATAATGAAAACGAGTTTACAATGCTTAGTCCATTTCATATAACCAGAGTTCTTAAAAATATATTATTACAATACGAAGTTCAGAGTGCGAAATTTAAACAGCGGAATTACAATAAACATCTAACGGTATAATACAAGGATCCGTCTGTGCCCACCAGAAGAATCCTCCACACAACAACTACTCTTCAAGCTGCACCTGGAACAGGGGTAAATAAACCCTTAGTACACAATATACTCGCAAGACTTACCCGACTAGTGGAAATAATTTCTCGACTCCAAAGGATATGATAAACTTTATGATTTGCTAGGTTTTTTTTGCAGAAAGCAATACTAGTAGTGAAGCCTTATGTTTGTTTCTTATTAGCAGTCCTGATTAGTTCATTATCTAACCATTGTAAGTAAGCACATGTTCTACTTTCAAGCAAGAGTTGAGCAAACAGATCCATTTCACCATCTTTCATCTTCCAGTTCTTACTACGGTGCTAGATCGTAGACAAGTCAAACCGGATTACCCGGTAATTCGCGAATCAATGTGCCCAGCTGGGTACCCCAAAACACACGCCCTGCTTGTACCCCAGGCACAAGAAGGACCAACCCATCCCTCTCATGTCAAGGGGTCCAGATCCCCGTCTAAACTTGGACTTCAAGCCCTCACACCTGAGTCCCGGACTCAGTGTAGTGCTTAGACCTCCATCATCCCTGCCTCCAATCAGTCGGTTCAGAAAGAACTGAAACCCACGACAAGAGAGCAACGAGTCTTCCCTGCTCCCATAAACAAGTCTGTGCTCAGGATAATAAGTCTGTGACCAGACTAGAATCCAATGCAACGGCAGGTCCTTAACCGACGTGGATAGGGAAAATAGTGTAACCAAGCTATGCCCCGTTGGCCATGGGACACAATCTCTTACACTCACCAATACCCGTACCATATCCCTACCCGGTCTTCATTTTTTTCATCATTTTATCATGAGAGTGATAATAATAATCACCTATTGTGAGTA